CCCCTCAGCTCCCTCCTCTGCCTTAAACCTTCTTGTCTCCCCTCAAACCTTCCTCCTTTCCAGTCCTTCTCGCCCCAAAGTCTTGGCCCTGGCCTGCAGCACAGGGGCGGCTCCGTTCGCTGCCTGGGCTGGGGCAGAGCTGAACGGCAGCCTGAACAGTAATGTGATTTATTTTTTTTTTTACTTCCTCTTCCAGGCCCCCTTTCGTGTCCAAAGGAACCTCCTCTCCACTAAACAAGGACCCCGTGGTTACAATTAGTTTCCTGCCCTCATGTCATTACAGGCTGGCTCATCTGAAGAGCACTCAATAAAGAGGGAAACACATCTGCTAGCTGAAAAGAGAAACAAGAACTCCTCGCAGCAGCCCAGCAGCATCTTATATTTCCTTCCTCTCCACAACACACCATCCATCAGATGTGATCTCAAGAGGCTGCAACTAAGAAAGGATGAGAAACAGCTCTGGTGAGCACCAGAAAGCAGAAAATTGATGGGTGGTACCAGAACCACATGGCCTGTGAGAAGGGGCCTCGGTGAACTCTCAGGAGGTCAATTTTAGCCAAATAGAGTGGTTGCATTTGCTCACCACTAGCTAAGTGACTGCTGTGGCCAGCTGGGAACCTTCCCTGTGGGTACAACTGAACCCGTGCTGCTCAATGGTTCCAAGAAACTTGATGTCAACTATTAAATAAAACTGATTGAAAAGCTCTGTTTTTCAGGGCAGGTAATGGCACCAATACAGACAAGCAGATAAAACACCGAGTCCAGGGAAGGCTGGGGGAGCACCTCGTACATTTGTAAGCATGCACCAGTACCAAGAAATTTGGAATTTGAATATCCTTTTATTTACAAATTTTTAACATACACATCAAAAGACAGCATAGCCACAAAACTCTAAATACAACGACATTCGTGCTGTATTCTGCCATGACACATTGATGGCAAAGGCCATGTTCGGGGAAAAGACAAGTTCCAAAATTAACTACACAGTACAGGGGTGTGAGCTGCGACAGCAGCCTCGAGCTGCCAGAAAAACAGAGTTACAAGCAACGCAGGGACACCCGAGAGCTGGCTACAGCCAACCGGAGGGCAGTTAGGCAAAAATGGTCTCGTAACAGTCCCAAGATAAAAGTGACTATTGAGTCTGACACTTTCATGTCCCACTCCCCTAAGGGACATAAATGGTGAGTTAAGCGAGTTACTGAGTGCTCACAGAAGGCATTTGACATGCCACCGGCATCACAGCTCAGTATTTTACACTGATGTTCTTCCTCCATCAGTAACAGCAGCCAACAGATATTCACCCGGTGCGGCCAAACAACAGCCCCGCACCCAAACGACAGCCACCCAAAGACAGGGGGATGAAAACGTGGAGCGAAAAGGAACCTAATGCACCATCACGCATGCTGCTCAGCGTTAACAAAGGTTTCAAAGCAACAGTTGGGAACATTTACACATTTAAATGTTGTATTCCTTGCACATTTTCTTCACTGAGGTTTTTGTCAAGACAAAGGTGCTTTCCAATACAGATCAGGCAGGTCACCAAAACATGGCAAATTCAGCAGCCAACTACTCTCTTCCCTATTCATTTAAAAAGAAAACCCTGAAGAGGGCAGCAGTTAGACAAAAGAGAGCCCAGCTTCCTTCAAAATCTTCCAAACTAGCTTCTGCCCTTGTCACACACACCAATAACCACTTATTTTTCTTCTGAGCAACCTCAGACAAGAGCTAGCCCTGGGCCAGAAAGTCCATGTCCCAGGAGCAGTTTAGCATGCAAGAAATCCAGCAGCCACAGCAGTGCGAGCTCCGTCCTCGGACCCGACCCTAGCCACTTCCCACGGCAGTCCACTGCGCTAACGAGAGACTAAGGGATCCTCCTCTCACCTGCAGAAACCTTGCAGCTTTAGCACCTGGAAACTCAGGTGGATTGTTCCCACTGTTTCAGCCACCTGCATCAAGGGGAAAAAAGCAGCATGATGTTATGGACAGGCTAACGAAACCACAGAGCTACTCCTGATCATCTGCTTCCTTTATTTTGATTTATTACACATCCTTACCTTGCAAAAGCTGTGCACTTACACCTCTGTGCTTCACAGATGAGACAGCTTTAGTAAGGTTTCTTACCCCCCCCCCCCCCACCCCCTCAGCATTTTTTTGGTGGTTCTCCCCCCCCCCCCCCCCCCTTCTGCTATCAGGATTGCTTCCAACCCCAATGTTTTTTCTTCCTTCTTCCTAGCAGTGTTAAGCCATCACATCCTGTGAATCTAAGTGCCAAATGCAGTCATATAGATTAACAGCACATGCAGCATTTGCACAGTGATTTCGGAGTCAGCAGCTGCTCCCTCTCCTCTGAAAGTAAACACCAGAGCCCAAAAGAACAACCTAAGATGCACTATTTGCACCCACACATTAGCAGTACTGCCACGCCGCGCTCGTGGCTACCTGTAACGAGCACTGAGTAAGAGAGGAGGGAGGCTGCGGAGCCCGGAGGTCTCTGCGGCCGCAGGGAGAATCCCTGCAGGGACAGGTATGCGATCGCATCCAGGCCGGCAGCACCAGCGTACCCAGAGCATTAACGCCCATCTATGCAGAATGGGTTCCAACAGAGCCGGTGAGATTTTGGAGCACAGCCTCTGAAGACCCTTCCAGAGCACCTTATCTCCTTCCCTCTTCACTCTCCCCAACTGCGCTGCCTCTGGAAGGTGGAATCCTTCTGCCCAGCCTCAGTGAGGTAAGAAGGGGGACCATGAGAGTAAAGCCCCTCGGCTAAGCACTGCAGTTCTCGCTTTCAAGAGGATGAGACAAATTCCAACACACACAGCAGGCTCCCCGGAAGATGCCGAACAACAATGGGTAACGATACTCCAAGCTTAAAAAGCAAAACAACAAACAAAACTACACAATTTTTTCTAGGAGTTCTCTTTCAAACAAAATGACTTCGAGAACCGCATGTCTTTCAATGGGCAAGATTAGAAACTATTAAAACCACATTTAAAAGCCTCAGCTTCAAACAATCTGGAATGATAAGATGCAATGGTAAGCAAAAGTGCAAATAGAGTGGTGGAATTCTAACTTAGCACCTTGATCTTAAACTGCACGTCAACTACCCAGCCAGGACTTTTCCTAAGCCTCCTCCTCTCCCAGACTCCTCTCTCATGCTTGGAGAGCACCGAGGTATCAACAGCTACATTAAATTAGATTGCATGACATCGTCACTTAAAAATCTTCCCTAATGTTAAGCTTCACAAGCCCCCCAAAACACTTTTCTCTCCTTCTTGCAAGAAAGCCCAGTTTCAGCGATGCACCTGACAGGGCTGTACACACAACCCGTTTTTTTTTCCACTCCTCACTTTCCCCTTTTTGTTATTCTATCAGTTTGCTCAACCCCCAACTTCACGAGCCGCTTAATTTCCAACACCAATGCCCAGCACCTCAGGAAAACCATTCACCTGCCACGGCCAGCTTCAGTATCCATAAAGACAGCTGTAACAAGTCCGTCGTAGCTAGGTGTCCTAACCGGGAATGTGAAGTGTAAAAGGATTTTTCCCATGGCACCTCCCAACTAGGTAAGCGTTCAGGAAACTATCCGTTTGAAAGACCCCAAAGACCACACAGCAGAAATGAAAGCCACCAGAAGGCTACAGTGCAGAAATGAAAGCCTACCTTTTAGAGGCAGGTGCGATCTTCTCCTTAAGGCTAGTGCTCAACTCTGGGGAAGCTGGCTTCTGATGCATCGGGCACAAAGGTCCCCGAAAGCTATAAATTGGGAAAGAAAAAAAAAAAAAAAGAGGGTCAATTTCCAAGTGTTGTATAAACAATTATCAGAAACTGCCTTCTAGGGACATAGGCAACACAAATATGTAACTTAAACCAAATTACTTTGACCAAATCAAGACTTCCAAAACGCTTCCCCCCCCTGCCCAATACAAGCTGGCTTCTGATGCATCGGGCACAAAGGTCCCCGACAGCTATAAATTGGGAAAGAAAAAAAAAAAAGAGGGTCAATTTCCAAGTGTTGTATAAACAGAATTATCAGAAACTGCCTTCTAGGGACATAGGCAACACAAATATGTAACTTAAACCAAATTACTTCTTTGACCAAATCAAGACTTCCAAAATGCTTCCCCCCCCCGCCCAATACAGTCTACCAAATCTCAGCTGGAAGCAAGGTAGCCAAAGCGACTACCTATGGAATTACTTACCTCTCAAACAACACCTCAGTGTTACCGAGGAACTAATTTTTCAGAGTTCCAGGTTCCTCCCTTCTCTCCCTACGCCTGGCTCCTATGCTTTCTCCATCCTTATTGCACTCAGCCCCTCAACATCTAACAGAGCCTCAAAACACATGTCCCTCCCATCTCTCTTCAACTCTGGTCAATCAGGCTTACTTCCACCTCGGTCCAGCCAGCTGAAATTGCAACAATTCACGGCGCTTGTCTTCGCAGTGCAAATCTAATACTTAGCTAATCTCAGAGAGAAACAGAGCCTTATGTTTCATCCCTGACCCTTCTCTCTTCCCCCAAGTCCTTTTACTTAGATAGTTAAGAAACCAAGGCAAGTTCTGCTTCTTTTAAGCGTCACACTGAAAATTTGTGGGTCGTGCTGTTCAGAAAGTCCCGAACCAAAAGAATACAGAGCAGCACAAACTATTTTTCGCTTCGTTACCTGCTGTGAGGCCAGACTTGGGTTATGGAGGTCAATAGCAGCAAGGGAGGGGACACGGGACTCTGAAACTGGTTTGTTCTCCTTTTTCAGAAATCTGGGATGCCACGCTGCAAAACACAACCAACGCATACCACGTTCAAGAAGCGAGAGCTGACTGCCCTAATGCACGCTGCTTCCTACCACTTATTTAGGATCCAGGTTTTATTTACAGGACACCAACACTCATACCTTCCACTCCTCTCAGTTCAGGGAGATGATTTAGTTCTGGCAAACGCACTTCTGTCTTGGAGAATTCCCATTTTTTCCTATTAGCTTGAAGGATGTTTTTTTCATTAGTAACCTGTAATCAAGGGCATAAGCGCCAGCTCATGAAAATATAGAAAAAGCAAAGCTATTTTTAGACTTAAAAACACATCAATGCAACCATGTTCTGCTGTAGTTGGAACTCGTGCAAGTGTAATAGAAAAGACTGTAACGTGTGAGAAGGAATCCCTTCTCCTCGAGAGTCATTTATACATTAAAACCGACAGAACAGCCACAGCAAAAACCCCCAATCATCTAAGCGAGACTGCTTGCAGAGAGACAAAATACAGCACTTGGGGAACGGCTCGGATTAGTTGCGTGTAAAAAGGCCAATGCTCCTGCTGGCACGGAAAGAATACCGCCTAGGTAAGCGAGTGCAGTGGAAAGCTTTCCATCTCACGTGTTTTCATTATGAATTTTTAATGCATTGATGACATGACTAAATAAGGCCCTAACCGTGTTGAATCCAAATCCTAAATTCCACTTCAGTCGTGCAGCACATAGGGTCTAGTTCTCCTGGCCAGGCAGGAGGCCATGGATATATTCCATGTCTCTCAGAAATCCTGTGTTGGACTGCTCCCCTCATCTAAAATTGTCCTGACACAAAATATGTTTCCTCTAAGATAACTATGAGCAAAGGAAAACAGAGGAGAGACCTGTAGGAAAAAAGCAGTAAAGAAAAGAATATTGCTAGTTGGGGTGAAGGCTGGCACAGATGGGATTCTTGACAATGAAACACGTACTTGAGTTCAGAATTTATTTTTGCTTTGCCAGGGGGAAAAGACAGATGACTTACCGACGTCAAGCTTACACTGTAATGGCCCGCTGGAGAATGCTTCCGTTGCTTCAGAAATGGGTTCAAGTATTTTTTACTCTTTTCATCAACTCTGTGATCAAAAAAGCCCAAAACTTTGTATTAGCTGGGTAACACGGTGAATATAAAAACCAACAAATGCAAGACAACCAGAAACACTGTCGTGAAATGCTTAGAAAGGCTCAAGGGGAAAACACCCTTCGTGAGCTCAGTTAACAGAGAAGTTTGGTCCAAAGGACAAGCCGCGAGGCAAAGAAAAGCCAGTGTCACAGCAGCTGGCAAACTGCTGCTGTCCAGTAGCGCTCTGCTACACGGGGAACCTGCGTCGGGCTCTCTCATCCACGTACAATCCTCCCCTCCAAGAGCTGTTCCTAGCCGTGTCCTGTCCCAGCCCCACATCATCACCCTGCACCTCTTTCAGGACGTTACAGTTCCTCGACCACGGGGACGATGATGATGGATACAAGCTCTTGTAGCTCTGCTCTTGTACCTGTAATTGAGGTTTCCAGGCACAGGACCCATCCCAACCGCAGTGGGAGAAAAGTTCTGGTTGATGGGAGGGATAACTATGCCTGCGTTCTTGGTGTAGTCCAAGCTGCTGCTGGAATCTTTTAGGCTGGTTTGAGGGCTTATTTTAAATGGGTTGATCGCACTGTCGTAGAGGGAGTTCAGATTGGAGGATCGGTCTGCTTTCTCTGCGTCAGCTTTAGAGCGCTTCGCCTTTAATAGCTTTGCATCTCTGCTCTTTGGGTCAATGCTGAAATCCTGTTTGGGAAGACAAACATTGTCTTTCTCTTAGAAGCATGTTTAAAAAGTTGCTTAGAGCAGTGCTCTAAAAGTTAAAAGTCTAAACTTGCATGATTCTGCAAGGATCTGATGAAGAGTGAATTGGTTTTAGTAGAAAAAGCTCTGTTTTCCATCAGACAGAAGGAGACTTGTCAGGGTTCCAGCACCTTCTGTAAATAAGTCACCTTAGAATGGGACTGGAAATGAGGGAGGAAGAACAGCCACGTCCTGCGTCACTTCCAAAGAAATGAATTAAGAACTGAGCCCGACATCACCTGAAAGCCTCTACTCCTCAGTATGCAACGGAAAGCAAAAGACATCATTCTGAAGCCAGAACTTTAGCACAGGTAAACAGCAGCATACAAGCGTGTTTTTGTGATCCAACGCGACTTATGCTTCCCAACTGATTCTCCCTTCCGCTCTGTATTTGCCAGCAACGGCATCACAATAGTTTACCTCCAAGGGACCGGCCAAACAGCCGCTTGCAGGCTGCCACACCAAGCGCCCTGTAGCAGCTAGAATCAAAGGGCCAGAACTTGTACACAACAGCCTGCAGGCTGTATGACACCGAGCATCAGAGCTGGCGGGGGGGCACAGGCCTAACGTACTGCCTGGAATCGGGTGACAAGGTCTTTAGCTCTGTTTAGACTTACAGTGGCCTCCAAAGGTGAGCTTCTCTGGCACTGTGTTGGGTTTGCATGGCAAGGGTTTGGTAGCTGGGGGGGGCTACAGGGGTGGCTTCTGTGAGAAGCTGCCAGAACCTTCCCCTGTGTCTGACAGGGCCAATGCCAGCCGGCTCCAAGAGGGATCCGCTGCTGGCCAAGGCCGAGACAATCAGCACCTCTGGGATAACATATTTAAG